GGAAATTTTAAGCAGTTGGTGCAAAACACAAATTAGTTATATATAGGGATCATAGTTATATATGGGGATCATGTTTCTGATTCAACTTGTTTGAAATAATTGTTCTGTTAATCAAAGACTACTGTGTAATTGCAAAATTTTTTTAAGTTGCAGCTGTTTTATTGACATTCTAAATACTTCTTTAATTTTTTAATTTTAAAAAACAATCTCACATCAAGGAAAACCAGAACCCAATGTCTTTACTGCAAAATTCTACCAAACATTTAAAGAGGAACTAAACAATTCTATTCAAATTTAACAAAAAAAAAATTGAAAGGACTACTTACAAGCTCCTTTTACTGGGCCAGAATTTTTCTGATTCCAAAATCAGACAAAGATGCAGCAATTAAAAAAAAAATAACCAGCAGGCCAATATCTCTGATGAACAAGATAAGAATGCCACTTTTACAGCTTTTCTTCAACATACTACCAGAAGTTCTAACCAGACCAATTTGGCAAGAGAATTAAAATAAAGGGGATCCAAATTGTGAAAGGAGTCAAATTGTCACTATCTGTAGATGGCATAATCTTAGATATATAGAAAATCCTAAAAGCTCTACCAAAACACTCTTTGAATTGATGAACAAATTCAGTAAAGTTGCAGGATACAAAATCAACACATAAAAATCAGTAGCATTTCTATACACCAATAACAAACTAGTGGAATAAATAATCAAGAAGGTGATCCCATTTACAATAGTTATAATAAAAAGTAAAATACCTAAGAATAAATATAATCAAAGAGGGGAAAGATCTCTACAAGGAAAACTATAAAACACTGATGAAAGAAATTGAGAGGACACAAAAATTAGAAAGACACCCCATGTTCATGGATTGTAAGAATATTGTTAAAATAACCATACTACCAAAAGTGAGCTACAGATTCAATGCAATTTCTATCAAAATACCAATGACATTCTTCACAGAAATAGAAAAAAAAAGTCCTGAGATTGGCACGAAATCACAAAAGACCCAGAATAGCCAAGGGCATTCTGAGCAAAAAGAACAAATCTGGAGGTATCATACTACCTAACTTCAAAATATACTACAGAACTACAGAAAACAATGACAACATGGTACTGGCATAAAAAAACAGACACATATTTACAGTCAGCTGATTTTCAACACAGATGCTAAGAATATCCAACTGCAGAAAGACAACCTCTTTAATAAATGGTGCTGAGAAAACTGAATATCCATATGCAAAAGAATGAAACAGGACCCCATCTCTCACTATATACAAAAACGAAATAAAAATGGATTAAAGTCTTAAATGTAAAACCTGAAACTATGACACTACTAGAAGAAAACATAGGGGAGATGCCCCAGGACACTGGTCTGTGCAGAGATTTTTTTTTTAATTTTAAATTTTAAATATGTGGGGTACAATTCAGGGTTAGGTATACAGATGTTCATTATACAGGAATCCTTGTTGATGAGGTGTGCCCCCTCCCCTAGCAGTTTCCCACTACTGCCAATCCCTTTCTTTTTTTTTTTTTTTTTGAGTTAGAGTCTCACTCTGTCGCCCAGACTAGAGTGCAGTGGCCACTCCCAGCCACCGCAGCCTCGACCTGCTGGGCTCCGGCGATCCTTCCGCCTCAGCCGTCCAAGTTGCCGGAATTATAGGCATGCGCTACCATGCCCGGCTGATTTTTTTATTTATTGTAGAGATGAGGTCTCGCTGCCCAGGCAGGTCTCGAACCCACGGGCTCAGGCAATCCACTCACCTCAGCCTCCCAATCCCTTTCTTACAGTATCACGACAGTTGTTCAAGGTCTACTTATGAGTGAGAAGATGTGATACTTGGTTCCTTGTTTCTGTGATAGATCACTCAGTATTATAGCCTCTAAGTCTATCCAAGTTGCTGCAAAGTTCATAATTTTGTCTTTAATATTCCATCATGTATATGTGCCACATTTTAAAAATCTAGTCCTCTTTCAATGGGCAGCACAGTCAGTTCCATGTTTTTACTAGTTAAATAATTGTGCAGAGGTTTTATGGACAAAACCTCAAAAGCACAGGCAAGAAAAACCAAAAAAAACTTAACAGCAAAAATACAAATAATTCAATTAAAAATGGGCAAAAAATCTGAAAAGACATTTCTCGAAAGACACAAACGGCCAGCAGGTATACGAAAAAATGTTCAATATTACTAATCATCAGAAAAATGCATACCAAACTACAAGATATCATCTCACCCCAGTTAACATGGAAAATATCAAAAAGACAAAAAATAATAAATGGTGGCAAGGATATAGAGAAAGGGAAACTCATATACTGTGGATGATAAAGTAAATTAGTCCAGCACTATGGAAAACAGAATGGAGGTTCCTCAAAGAATTAGAAAGATCAACTAAAATAGAAGCATAATAACTAGAATAACAAAAAATAGAAATACCACATGATTGAGCAATCGCATTACTGGGTATATATCCACAGGAAAGGAAGTCAGTACGTTGAGGAGATACCTTCACTCCTGTGTTTATTCCATCACCATTCACAACAGCCAAAATATGGAATCAACGTAAGTGCCCATCAGCAGATAAATGGATAAAGAAAATGTGGTATACATGCACAATGAAATATATCTAGCCATAAAAAAGAACAAAATTCTATTATTCATGGCAACATGAATGAGCTTGAAGGACATTATGTTAAGTGAAATAAGCCAGGCTGTAAGAGAAATATCACATGTTCTCATTCATATGTGGGAGCTAAAAAGGCTGATCTCATAAAAGTAGAGAGTGGAATAGGGGTTACTAAAGGCGGAGGAGGGTAGAGGGAAGGGTGAGAAAACCAAAGGTTGGTAACAGATACAAAACTACAGCTAGATAGGAAGAATAAGTTCTAGTGTTCTATAGCAGTAGATGGTGACTATAATTAACAACAACTTATTGTATGTTTTCAAATAGCTAGAAGAGTAGATTTTGAATGTTCTCAATGCAAAGAGATGATGTTTGAGGTGATGAATAGGCTAATTACCCTAATTTGACCATTACACATTATACACATATATAAAAATATCATACTGTATCCCACAAATATGTACAATTATTGTGTTAAAAGTCATTATTGTGTTTTCATGGCAAAAAAAAAAAGCACATGAAAAGGTACATGGCGTCATTTATCGTGAGGGCAAAACAAATTACAATCACATTTAGATGTCATTTTACTACAATGGCTAAAATTAAAAGATCTACAACACCTAATGATGGCAAAAATATAGAGCTAATGAAACTCTCATGCACTGCTGTATGGAGTTGTAAAATAGTACAAGAGTACAAGCTCCTTGGAAAACAGTTTACATTCATCTACCCTATAAACATAGCTATTCACTTCTGGAAGTTTACCCAAGTGATATGAAAACACATTGACACGAAGATCTGCATAATAATGCTCACAGGAGCTGTATGCATAAAAATCAAAACCTTAAAAAAACCCAGTTGTCTTTCAAAAGGAGGATTTTGTTTATGATTCACAAGGATAAACTGTAATATCTTCATAAAATAGAATATAACTCAGAAATAAAGATGAGTGAATTACTGATACATGCAACAACATAGCTGAATCTCAGAAACATTACACTGTGTGACAGACACCAGAGTACATACTATATGATTCCATAATTATATTAAATTTGATAACAAGAAAATATGATTTATGATGATAGATCAAAACAGTGGATATCTCTGGGGAGTAGGGAACTGACTTGAAAAAGATATGGGGGACTTATGGGGGGTAACGTAAGTGTTCTATATCTTGTCCTGGGTGATAGGCTTACACAACTATCAAAATGACCTGACACTTAAGATATGTGTAACTTTTGTGAGCAAATTATATTTCATTTTTAAAAGCCCCATGCAGGTTGGGGCAGTGGCTCACACCTGTAATCCCAACACTTTGGAAGGCTGAGACGGGAGAATCACTTGAGCCGAGGACTTCAAGACCAGCCTGGGTGGCATAGGAGACCCCATTTCCACAAAAAATAAAAAGTGTTACAAATCAAAACACAATTTATTTAGAGACACAGCAATGTGCATATTTTCTTGTAGCTTCTAAAAGATTAGATAAAATATGGAAACTTTTCTAAGATAAATACCCAAAAGAATGCCAAATCACAAAAAACTCAAGTGATAACATTAAGTAAAAAAAGAAAACTGTTCATACAATGTAATTGTAGTTACATAAAATATATCAATAAGGGTGGGTGCGAAGAAGGGAGAAGGAAAAGGAAGAAAAAAATTTTAAAACATATTAGTAAATATACATATAAAATATATAAACTAGTATGGGGAAGGTTATTTATAGCAGTATAGTAATATGTTTTTTCATTTTTGTATATCTATGAATTTTTGCACTACTATTTATAAAGAAAAACTATGATAAAACTACCAAAACTAAAAATAAAATAAAAGCTAAAAACAAAAACAAAAAAATAGAATTAATAAGAAAGCAAGTAACTGGCAGATCACAAACACATTTTCCTTCTTTATCCATCCCAAGGAGGAGAATAGAAGACATGTCTAATCTTTGAGAAAAGAGATGTCTTTTTTTTTTTTTTTTTTTGAGTCAGGCTCTCACTCTGTTGCCTAGGTTGGAGAGCAGTGGCATGATCATGTCTCAGCACAGACTTGACCTCTTGGGTTCAGGTGATCCTCTCTCCCCAGCCACCCAAGTAGCTGGGAATACAGATGTGCATTGCCACACCTGGCTAATTTTTTTTGATTTCTTGTAGATTTCTCACGACGTTGCCCAGGCTGGTCACAGATGTGCATTGCCACACCTGGCTAATTTTTTTTATTTCTTGTAGATTTCTCATGACGTTGCCCAAGCTGGTCTTGAACTACTGGCCTCAAGCAATTCTCCCACCTTGTCCTCCCAAAGTGCTGGAATTAGATGTGAGCCAACATGTCCGGCCGAGAGATGCTATTTTAAGAGATAAAATTCAAAACTCAACTCACCTGAAACTTGGTCATTTTCTCCCGCTCCTTCTAGGGAAGGGCAGAGTCCTGGGAAAGCAGAATTGAGAAAGAAGAAAGAAGCCATGAGACACAGACCCTAGCCCACATGGCTGCTCTGTGTGAATTTTGAAAAGGTGATCCCATCCCTCAGCACATATATTAGCCCTTCAGCCAGGAGTCTTTGTGTAGTGAGCAACCTGCCCAACTCTAAATAGCAAGCCTAACACAAGAGCCCTTTGTAGCTCCTGGTGTTATCATTCTCATACTGGGTACTGTGGGAAATGAAATGCAATAGCATGTACTGGCTATAGAAGTGAACTCGGCCCAGGCACAGTGGCTCACACCTTTAATCCCAGCACTTTGGGAGGCTGAGGGGAAGGATTGCCTGAGCCCAGGGGTCCGAGACCATCCTGGGCAACATGGCGAGACCTCGTCTCTACATAAATCAAAAAATTAGCCAGGCATGGTGGTACATGCCTATAGTTCCAGCTTCCTGGAAGGCTGAAGTGGAAGGATCGCCTGAACCCAGCAGGTTAGGGCTGCGGTGGCTGTGAGCATGCCACTGCACTTCAGCCTGGGCAACAGAGTGAGACTCCAACTCAAAAAAAAAAAAAAGGAAGTGGACTCAGGGACCAAAAGGTCTGGGGTCAAATCCTGGCACTATAATTAACTCTGTTTAAGTTGTTTAACCTTCCTGTGCCTCAAACCTGTAACCTGCAAAATGAGAAAACAGTGCTTCACTCATGGGATTGTTATGAGGATCAAATGTGTAAGTAGATGGAAACTCTTATAACTGATTTCCCTGTAGCTGCAGAAAAGCAGATGATATGCATCATAAAATTGTCATCACAAATGTCTTTTGCCATCATTTCCAATAAAAATCTTTTGTGACACCGAGATTTTTCAAAAACTGTATAATGCTTTATCTTATGAAATTCAGCTTTACAAAAAGTCTGCAATTTTGATTGGTTATACTACATAATACTTTGTTGTCCTGTAATGATATTTAATTGACATCAGCATTTGGTTTTGTAAAAGGTATAAATATTAGTGAATTTTCCTCATGTAGCCAAGAGAGGCTCAACAGTACGTGCCCCTTCTCCCATGTTCACTGTGGTAAAGAAAAACTAGTCTAAAACGTGTCTCTGCTAGTTTACTTTTTATTTTAAACAAAAGCTTAACAGTCTCGTCTCATTTAAATGAACAATACTACAGTAGTAATAATAACTCCTAATTTAGATTCGCTTTGGGGATTAAGTAAGCAAATCCAGTAGACTTGGCAAGACCAAGTCTAGCCAAGTCTACTGTCTAGGCCAAGTCTATAGTCATACATTCGGGAAGTCAGTTAGTGGGTGCCAGAGGCTGAGAGAGGGGATGGCAAAGAGTAATGACTAAAGGATATAAGGTTCCTTTTTGGGGTGATAAAAATGTTCTGGAATTAGACAATGGTAAAGGTTGTACAATCCTGTGAATATACTAAAAACCACTAAATGGTACAGTTTAAAAGGATGAATTATTATATGATATATGAATTACGACTCAATTTTTTAAATAGAGGAAAAAAGCCTTGGCTCAGTGTCTGGTACATTATATAAGTTCTCAAGAAGTGAAGATATGATGACTGTTGTTCCCATTTAATGGAAGAGGAAGCTGAAGATTACTGAGATTAAGTTGCCCAAGGCCACAGAGCTGATGAGGCGAGACTGCATCTCACTCTGACTCCAGAGCCTGTGTTCTTAACCTCGACTCCATTTCTAAACATACATATGAAGAAATAGGATGGATGTCCTTACAGATCAGAGAAAGGGGAGTTGGAGGGTATGAACTCTGTAGAAAATGCTCTGCAGAAAGATAATGGAGCCAGATAATCTGGATATAATAATGACTCTTCTGACTTACTAGCTCTTGTTGCCTATAAAGTAGGGATAATAACAATATCTACCTCATAGGGCTGTTAGGAGATAGCTAAATTGTTCATGGGGAAGCACTCTAGTAGGGATGAGAACAATGTATCCGCTTCCAAAAGCTTGGGGAAAATAGCAGTTCATAACATACAGTTCCCTTTGTTATGGTCCTATGTTTTCCTGCACTTTCCAGCTCTGCTCAGTTACAGGGTTTTGCAAAGAGACATGACATTTCACAACATTTAAGAAAAAAAGCAAGTGGGATCTAAGGTACCTGGCTCAGCTCTGCTCACTCTATGGAGCAAGGCCACTTTTCTAGGCCTGAGTTTCCAGACTTGGCTCATTCCTGGGTTGTCAAGTCATCTCATGCCTTTGCTTCTGCCACTTGGCCTCCATAGAGGACCAGCTTTCCCTTCCTTCTCCTGCAGTCTCTGCTCAGGGAAGCCTTTAGAATCACTAGCAATGGTGGGGGAATGATTAGTAGATCAAGCATCTGTTTTGCCTGTGAGATAATTAACACTTTTTATTCCCCAGCACCCAGAACATAGAAAGTACTCAAAACACATGGAATCAAAGAATGACTGAATACATACACAGTCAGACAAGGGCTGTACTAACTTATGTCCAAGGTTCTTTTGAGCTGTAAAAGTCTGAGGCTGTTCCTAACTGGGAGGAAAAGAGGATGAATTGTATCTCCCAAACTTTTCCTTATTTATTAATAAGGAATTAATTTATTTGCTTTACTAAAGCAACATCAAGGTCATCCTTAACAGTGAAATACTGCATATAAGGGTCAATCAGACTGTGGATAACACAAGCCCTACCTATTTATTTATTTTATTAACACCATTAGGTATTTACTCAAATTCATTTTCTCAAGTTCTTCCTTCCTTGGACATGCTTTAAGTAATTTAAATCCCCGCTTACCACTTCTCTTCTTCTCCCATTCACTCGCCTTTTATACGTAGCATCACCACTCTCTAACATACTAATTTATGTCTTGCTTATTTACCTTACATATATCTATCCCTCTTTTTAGAGTGTAAGCCACATCGTTCTGTTTACTAGGCTCTGGAGAAAGAGCTTTCTCACTAACCGGCTGGTCTAGTTATCACAGGGAAACTTTGGAATTAACGTTCTCACTCCCTTGACCTCCATATACTTATGAGAATCTATTATAAATTCTCTTGACTCGATGTCTGGATTTGCTTTAAAATAGTCAAACAGGCCGGGTGTGGTGGCTCAGGCCTGTAATCCCAGCACTTTGGGAGGCCGAGGCAAGAGGACTGCCTGAGACTAGGAGTTCGAGACCAGCCTGGGCAACTTGGCGAGCCCTCATCTCTCAATAAATCAAAAAATTAGCTGGGCTTGGTGGCACGTGCCCGTTGTCCCAGCTACTTGGGAGGCTGAGGCACAAGGACTACCTGAGCCCAGCAGTTTGAGGCTGAGGCACAAGGATTGGCTGTGAGTGTGCCACTGCACTCTAGCCTGGGTGGCGGAGTGAGACTCCAACTCAAAAAAAAATAAAAAATAAAAAATACTCAAGCAAAAAAGGGGGGAGGGGCCGTTATATAACAAAATTGGCAAAATGTTGATAACAGTTGAAGGTTGGCAAGGGTTGATGGCTACATAAGAATTTATTTTATTATTTTGTTTTTGAAAATGTTCATAATCATGAGTTACCAAATACAAAAGTACTGTAAATATGATACAATTTTTGAAGAGCTTTAAAATGAACACATATTTAGAGGAAGACAGAGAAACAACTAAAGAGAAATGCATTAACATGTTCACATGTTTGGAATTATCCCTACATCCTGGGTAATTTTAGTTTTCTTCTTCTTTTTTTTTGAGTTAGGGGTCTCACTCTGTCACCCAGGCTGGAGTGCAGTGACACAATCACAGCTCACCACAGCCTGGACCTTCTCAGCTAAAGGGATCTACCCTCCTCAACCTCCCAAGTAGCTGAGACTACAAGTGTGTGCCACCACACTGGGTAATATTTTTTTTTTTTTTTTTTTGTAGAGATGAGATCTTGCTATGTTGCCCAGGCTGAGCTTTCTCTTCATCTATTTTTCAAATTCTCTATGATGAGCAGAGATTATTTCTATTATCAGAATATCAACATAATGTCATATAACAATAAATTAGTTAAATGAACATAACCTTCAGGTCTTCTATGCAAAGTCATAAATTACTTTTCCAATGTATTACCAAACGACCCTCCCTCCATCAGTCACAGGGACTGTCATTTCTTTCTTTCTTTTTTTTTTTGAGTTGGAGTCTCACTCTGTCCCCCAGGCTGGAGGGCAGTGGCACGTTTCCCCGCCACCGCATCCTCTACATGCTGGGCTCTGGCGATCCTTCCTCCTCAGCCTTCCGAGTAGCTGGAACTACAGGCGTGCGCTACCACGCCCGGCTACTTTTTTTGGGGATTTATTGTAGAGATGAGGTCTCGCCAAATTGCCCAGGCGGGTCTCGAACCCGCGGGCTCAGGCAATCCACTCACCTCAGCCTCCCAAAGGCGCGGGATTAGAGGCCGAGCCACCAAGCCCGGCTGGGACTGTCATTTCTTCGGGTTGAGAAGAGTATTGCACAGATTCAAACCCAGGTTACCTGATTCAAATTCCCAGTTCAGGCCCTTACCTGTTGTTTGACTTGGGAATTAAAATTAAATTCTTACCTATCAGTGGTCTCACTTGTAAAATAAGCATAATAACATCATCTCTGTCTGTAATTAGGATTAAGCTAATTAAAACATATAAAACTCACTCGCACTCAATGTTAATTATTATTCACTCAACAACACGTCTCACCCAACCTCTCATTTATTCTACAATTATTTGAGCATTTGCAGGGGAAGAAAATTGCTATCAGTGAAGGCAATCTGTTCTCCAACGGAGCAGAAATAACAGCATGTTCAGTCCTCTCGAGTCGGGACCCAAGACCCAGGGGCCAACTCCCCACTTCTCCCTGAAGCCCTCACTGACGAGTCAGGGCTGAGGAAGGCAAGGAGGCTGGAAGACACCACCACGCCTGTGTCTCTGGTCCACGATAAAGCACAGTGGACATCGCCAGGCACCAGCTGGAGGCGAGACACACTCATACCCGCATGAGAACTTAAAAATAAACAAAAAGATGGCGAGAAAGTGGACCCCCTCATTAGGGATCCAGGACCCGCGGCTGCACCGGGGCTTGGCGCCCACCGCAGGCTCACAGAGGACGCCAGGAACTGAGCTTCTCCAAGAATAACAGGTGGGCAACGACCGGGGTCGGTCCTAAGCACTCTAACATCTCTTGGTTTACGCAACATCCCTGCTGGAGGTGGACCACCGTTAGGCCCACGTTACAGAGGAGGAACCGAGACGTGGAAGAACCCTGCCAAGGCGCTGTCGCCAGAAAGCGGCAGAGGGCGTGGAAGGTGGGGAAAGCGCGGAACCTTCAGCTACCGGGAGCCCCTCAGGCCAGGGGGTGTCCGAGCCGCGAACCGCCCCAAAGGCCGAGGACGCGCCGACCTTCGGGCCGGGTCTCTGCGGCCTCTCCTCTCCCAGGGCAAGGGCCTGCACCTGCGGGTCCCACGCCCCGGCCAGGAAAGCTCGGAGTAGGCGCACGGGTTCCGCGATGACTCACCTCCCACAGGGGATTGACAGCGGTTGCTTCGCCCTCCTGCCTCGCGCCCAACTGCTCACGGCTCCTGAACTACACTTCCCAGAATCCCCGAGCGGAACACCGGCTACAGTCCCGCCCCCCTGGGCGGAAGTGGCGGTTGCTACCCGTTACTCCTGGACTACACTTCCCAGAATCCCCGAGCGGAACACCGGCTACAGTCCCGCCCTCCTGGGCGGAAGTGGCTGTTGCTACCCGTTACTCCTGGACTACACTTCCCAGAATCCTCAGCAAGGTAGCGCTCAGGCTGGCTTGTCTCTTTACATTTTTATTTATTTTTAAATATATAAGCCGGTTCAGGTCGCTGTTTTCAAGCGCTACTAGCACTTGACTTATCTCTTGTTCTCTTCCTTCTGCCTCCCTCTTTTTTTCTCAAATTACACTGCTACTGTGACTGTGAAGTAAATGTGACTGTGTAGAGAAAGGCGAAAAGATCTCAAATTTTTTTTTTTTTTTTTTAAAATTCTGTTGCCATGTTTACTCTACGTGTGCCTGGAGACATCCAGACTGACTCCAATCACGTTACCTGGCGTGAGCCATTCATTCTAAGATGATGAAGACTCCCAAGAAGAAAAAGTAACCTTAGATCAGGCCACAAACATTTTTTAAAGTTCCTCTTTTGTTTACTTTAATTGCTCATTTTGAAATGTGGGGTTTTTTGGCAAATGAAAGGCGCTCTGGACTGGCAGGAAAGTGAAGGAAATATAATAGCCAACTATCTGAAAAAGAGATCAAGAAAACTGGCCCGTTTAACAATGATGACACAAAAATAAGACACCTAGGAATATACATATCCAAGGAGGTGAAAGAGCTATCTCTACATTGAAAACTATAAGACACTGATGAAAGAAATTGAAGAAGACACAAGCAACTGGGAAGATATTCCGTGTTCATAGGTTGGAAGCATTAATACAGTTGACCCTTGAACAATTGGGGTTTAGGGTGACAACCACCACACCTCGTATGTGTAAGGTAAACGAAATCAGACCGGGCGAAATGGCAACAAAGGAGCCAAGAAAAATGTATTAGCGCAATCCCCGGCGAGGTTCTCCGGTCCATATAGCTATGGGCCAGAGAAGTCGCGCCCAGCAAGATGGGCGACAGGTTTATAAAGGGCACGCTGAGAAAGCTGTGAGGGGGGTTGGGGAGAGCGATCATTGGTTGGGACAGCTGTCACATCTGCTGGCGATTGGCTGAACGGGTCGCTAGAGTCGCTGTAACAGGTACAGGCTGGCTTTGCGGCTGGAGTCTTAGTTCTGGTTATTCATTTTTGCTGGTTCACTTCCGCCCATTATTCTCCTGGTCCGGGTTGGAGCCCTCTTGTTGAGGCCCGCCCCGCCTCCCGGTACCTCCGGCCTTACAGTATGCAATCAAAATCTATGTATAACTTTTGTCTCCCCAAAAACTTAACCACTAATAGCCTACTGAAAGCCTTCCCAATAACATAAAGTTGATTAACAGAATTTTGTGTGTTACATGTATTGTATGCTGTATTCTTACAATAAAGCTAGAGAAAAAAATTACTAAGAAAGTCATGAGAAGCAGAAAGTATATTACAGCACTGTATTTATTGATACTGTAAGTTTACATTGTTTTCAAAATGAATTGTCAGTCTGAAATGGCAGACAACTGCTGCTACAGACCTCATTCTATAGTACATATCAAGCAATTAACATTTTCTTGTAATGTCAAGACTTCTCTCTGATTCTTGGGAGCACTCCCAGAGTCACTAGTGGCACTTTGTATAGATCCCATGGTGTTATTCAGAGTTTGTGGAGTTGCACTAAACATGGTGAAAAATAACCTTGAGCAATCACTTTTTATTGTCATACACAATTCACCGGTGAGATGAACTGCTCATACTGAGATGATTAGCATCACATGGCATTTTAAACAGATACAACACTTGAGCTCACTACAATAGCAACAGAAAGTGGCTAAATATGATTATTGTAGTAAGTACGGCATGTATTACAGTTAATTTTATGCAGTTATAATTTAGTATTGCACCTTTATGTCTGTTTACATTTCTCTTGATTGCTATTGGCACCATATGCAGCCTGTACTTGTGTGTTGTCATTTTTGATAAATTTTAACTTTCTATAATCGAGTAGTAAATGATAAAGTAGTGTCTACATATACTTTGTGCGTTCTTAATTGTTTGATAGTTCTAGGCTATGAAGTTTTTTGGAGAGCTTTTTCAAGTTGTTGCAAACCTACAAAAATGTTTTCAATATATTTATTGAAAAAAGTGCACATAAGTGACTTATGCAGTTTGACCCCATATTGTTGAAGGGCCAACTGTATTGTAACTTAAAAAAGAAAAGCCTAGATATATTTTGAAAATGCATATTCCCTTAGTTCAGCTTCAAAAAAAATCTTTTATCTACACCCAGCCTGCTCTTGGCATCATAAATACAAGTGTTTTATGTTGAACTCAATGAACCATGATTATTCAGAAAGCAGGAGTGTCAATGGAGATCCTGCCCTGATAGCTAAAACAAACTAAACCCTTCAAAGCAGGCCCTTACCATTTTTCTACTAATTAAGAAAAACCCAAAAGTATTTTTTGTAACTATTTATTACATAAAATTAGGAAAAAACAGTAAAACAGACACTCTCTACTTCACTGCCCATATTTATCTATGGCTTTTTTTTGCTTGCTTCTTCATTTTATTTCCTAGAGGAGTATTTTTAAATCAAATCTTCAGAAATTTATTTTCTCACAGTTCTGGAGGTTCCAAGTCTGAAATCCCAGTATGAGCAGAGCCATGTTCTTTCTGAAAGTACTATGGAAAAATCCTTCCTTACCTTTTCCAGCTTCAGGTGGTTGCTGACAATCCTTGGTGTTCCTTGGCTTGCAACTGTATAACTCCAGTCTTGGCTTCCATTTTCTTTATGTGTGTATGTCCAAATTTTTCTTTTTTAATTTTTTTTTTGAGACAGTGTCTTGCTCTGTCACCCAGGCTAGAGTGCAATGGCAGGATGATCCCAGTTCATTGCAGACTTGGCCTTGGCCTCCTGAGTAGCTAGGATTACAGGTGCAAACCACCATGCCTTGTTGGGAGCCAACATCTATAGCTACATGGCTGAGGCCTGTAAAGGCCCATCTGGAAGATCGCCTCTGACATAGGATATCAGTTATACCTATAATATTGGCATGTGATTAGTGACCAGTGTGCATACATGACAGTAAAATTTGTAAGTAAATCTCTATACACCTGATGGAAAGTTGCACAGTAGAATTATTTTATATGACCTTGTCCCTTCTAAGTTTTACTTCTTTCTAGATATTTTTTAACTTCTATTTCCTGGTAGACTGGTTAGTTAGCTGTTGTTCCCAAAGGCAGTTTCTCCTAGGATTAAGATTAGAAACTAAATTACCATAATAGTTTTATTGCCCTGCCTCTAGTCAGGCAGGATGTTTTTCTAGTTTCCTTACATGCGGAAACTCTGTTTGCTTCAGCCCGAGGTCATTGTCATGGTAACCGTGCAGCCCATCATCCAAGAGTGTGACAGCTACTATTTGATTTTTAGAATAGACTTGTTTGAATAAAACATACATTTAAGGCGATACAATTTCCATCGAAAAGATTTAAACAGTAATAAGCATTCATAGAAAACTTTTAAGTTTTGTTTAAGCTTTTAAGTTTCCTTTTCTCAGATTATGACTTTAGTTCCTGTTCCTGTAGGCCAATTTTAAGATCCTTTGATTAGTATACTGAAATTTTCCCAACGGTGCTGTTTTTGCTTCTAATATGACAATAGGAAATTTTACACGTAGCCATGTATTAATGTACTAGGAAAAAAGATTTAAGTTTTGGGTTAAAGTCATAGTTTTATTAGAATAGAATGAGAATTATAGTGTTATGATTTTAAAAATCATACATTAATGATAATTATAAGATTTAATGATAAGGTATTAGCTTAATAAGATATAGCATAGTATTAAAGGCCAATCACTAGATCATATAAAAATTAAAGTTTAGGTTTATGAAACTCATATAAGTCATGGTAAGGAATAAGATTTGAATTAATTGTTATAGAATTACAGGGCACTATGTTGAGTCATAATAGGTTAATGGAATAAATAAAAATTAAGTCATTTAAGTAAACTTATAGATTATAGTGTTAAGTTGATAATATCAACCTTTAAAAAATATTAGGAGTCAGTGAACTTGGATTGAACCTAGAGTTAACTTAGAAAGTTTTTGTATTAATCAGGGTTTAGAACAAAGAGTATAATATGAATGATTTATTGAACACTATGGAAGACATTTTGAACAATTGAAATTGTGCACCTGTGACCTTGATGTGAGTTTTGTGAAGCACGTCAGGCATCATGGAGTTCGAATTGTCTGCTTGGAACTTGCAAGTCTCGTGATGGTCTTGTGATGCATAATTTGTAAACCGCAATATACATCATGGAATTTGTACGCCCCCAGTAAATAATTATCACACTGCTGGAGGGTATAGAAAATGGTATATAAGTTGGAAAAGGTTTGAATAAAATTGGCTTCAGTCCTGATCAGACTGTTCCCAGAAGAGCTGCCTCCGAGTGGTCTCTTCTCACCGTCTCCTGATTCTCCGGTGCGGGTCCTAACCCTTCCCTCCAAGGTCGGAGCGGGTCTCCGACAATGCCTGGGTAATATTTTTTCTCTCTTTTCATTTTTGATACAGATAGAGTCTTGCTATGTTGCCCAGGTTGGTCTTGAACTCCTGGCCTCAAACAATCCTCCCACTTCGGCCTCCCAAAGTCTGGGATTATAGGAATGAGGCACTATACTTGGCAAAAACTATTCTATTTTTCCACTGCTTCCTAGTCAGCAGATATTCCACTTTGTTGTTCCTTTTTATTTTTTACATTTTTAAAATTATTTTTTCTTTTTCTTCCATTTTCTTTCTTTCTTTCTTTCTTTCTTTTTTTTTTTTAAGACAGGGTCTTGCTATGTTGCTCAGGCTGGTCTCAAACTCCTGGCCTCAAGAGATCCTCCTGCCTTAGCCTCCCAAAGTGCTGGGATTATATGT